AGACCACTTTGTTGCCTAGTTAGGGTATCCCTTACAAGTTATTGCATCACTTTATGAAATCATCATGTTGAACACTTTAAATGTACACAATTATAGTTGTCAATTATGCCTCAAGAAAGCCGGTGAAAAAAGTTATTGCATCACTTTATAAGAAGGAATGCTGCATCTTCAAAGTCTAAATGTATCAGACCCCAAATAGAATTTCTCACAGCCAGGTACACTAATCATTTTTGATATTTTTTGTGTTTTTCAGTTAAGTTTTTCTTCATCTCTGGTTGTCTTTAGATGCTTTGCTTACAAACTACATCAAATAAATTGGTCAAATTCAGAGATCTATAATCTATCATATCCTTTTAAAGCATCTTATTCCTCTGTCAAAAAAAGCTCCACAAAAATTTATTTCTTTCAGAAATAAGAAAACAGAAACATTTGAGAGCCAGGAAGAATTTGCTTGACTGTTGTGAATATGAGTAAGGAACTCTAGGGAAAAAAAATTATTTTTTCTTTAATTTTAGAACATTGACCACCATAACCTACATACTTTTTAACTTTTTATGCTACTTTGAACAGTTGAAAAAAAAAACCTTTTTGCTTGTTACAATTGATGAGCCAATACTGATACATATTAACTAAAACCATAGTTTACCCTTCATTCTTTGTGTTGTACACATTTATGGGCTTTGGCCAGCATGGAGTAAAATTGTTCAGAAACTGATGGCAAATCATAGTAATCCAAAATTTAGCAGAAGTAGCTTTAAAGGCAGATTAAAAGTTATCTTTTCAGATTCTGCCCTCTTCTCTGGCATGACATATATCCCAGGTGCCTCCGAACTGCAGGTTACATCTCCCTTGTCGTCTTTACAGTCATCATTTCCTCCTACTTCTTCACCTGTATATCTTATACAACATCCTTTTTTTCATTAATAAACTTTATTTGTAGAACAGATTTAAGTTTACAGAAAAATTGAGCAGGTAATACAGAGTTCTTGTCCACCTCCCCCCACCCACATATACACACATTTCCTCTATTATTAGACATCGTGAATTAGTATGATATACTAACTATAATTAGTGAACCAATATTAACACGTGACTAATTAAAATCTATAGATTAGTGTTCACTCTGTGTTGTACTGTTCTATGGGTTTTGACAAACGCATGATGTCATTAATCTTTATTACAGTATCACACAGAATCATTTCACTGACATAAAAATCCCTTGTGCTGCATCTTTTCTTCCCTCCCTTCTTCCAAACTCCTGCAGACAGTAATCTTACTGTCTCCATAGTTATTTTTTTCTTTCTATATCTTTCAGAATGTCATAGTTGGAATCATATAGTATTTAGCCTTTTCACACTGATTTCTTTCACTTAGCAATAAGTTTTTATAATTCCTCCATATCCTTTCATCACTTCATAGCTCATTTCTTGTTATGTTGATAATATTGCATTATCTGGATGTACCACAGTCTGATTATCCATTCACCTATTGAAGGACATCTTGACTGCTTCCAAGTCTTGGGAATTATGAATAAACCTTCTAGAAACATATGTGTTCAGGTTTTTGTGTGCACATAAGCTTTTAACTCATACCAGGGAGAGTGATTGCTGGATCTTTTCTAAATGACCATATTTAGCTTTTTAAAAACTGTCAGTCTGTCTTCCAAAGTTGCCATACCATTTTACATTCTCATTAGCAATGAATGATAGTTTCTGTTGTTCCACAACCAAGCCAGAGTCTGTTCTAAATTTTAACTGTTTTAACTCTTTTAAAATATCATCCAGTCTCTGTCCTCCCCTTAGCCATTAGTCTATGGTAGCTAGGTAAAATTGTGATGTATATAAAATCTCTCTTTGGCACCCATCAATTTTCACTTAATCTATAGTTAATGCCTCCCTCTTAATTCTTCTTGTATCTTCTTTTACAAGAATAATTTCCCCTTTGTCTTTCCTTTGCTTATTCTGTGCTTTAAAAAAATTTTTTTTGGTTCTCTTCTTCTCAGGAAATACCAAACTAGCCTCCACCAAGACATTCAATATTTCTAAAGTCTTAGATGTTAAAAAGATAATACAAATTCAAGGGATCTGTCAATTCAATGAGGTACCATTAACACTGAAATTGTCTTCGAAATCTCCAAATTGCAGATGTGATATTAAAAGATAAAGGGTGGAGAAAGATAATTGAGAGCAAAAGTCCCTCAGCTGATTCTAAGAAGCTAGTAATTTACACACAAAGCTTACCCTAAACCTGGTTAACTCCTTCTATTTATGCCCTTAGCATTAGGCTCTAGTCTTTAAGTTCTTGTGAACTTGTATGTAATCTCAAATGTTTTGGTTCTTTTGGTCTTATATCTGATATTCAAATGATCCATTCTCCCAACTGGGTTAATTTCACTCTTTAATAACTGCCATGCAATAAGAACACACAAATAAGTGATGAAAGGATGAATAAATTCTAAGATCTTTAAAAGTAAGCATCATGTTTCTCCCAGGCATGGGTAAATTGACAGCAGCTCAACAGCAGAGATTTAAAGGAGGAGTAAACTTTCTGAATTTAGAGGAACATAGAACCATCATTTCATTTTCACTGGTTCTTTTTTGTAAGCATGGTAATGAACTATATATTATATATAAATTTCAGTGTAAAATTTGATGAATTCCTGCAAATAGGCAGACACTACCCGTATGAAGCAAGCTCTAATGCCTGGAATGTCTCCATGGCTCCTTTTTTGTCATTACCACTCTCTAGAGATAACCATGCTTCTAGATTTTGACAACAGCTTCAGGAGATCTTGACAACAGTTTTCCAAAATGACTGTTAGATTTACAGCACCCACCAGCAACATAAGAGAGCTCCAGTTCCTCTGAATCACTTGTTATTTTCAGACTATTTTACTTTGATCATTCTTGTGGGAATGAGTAGTATCTGAGTATTGTTTTAATTTCATTTTTTACCTGAGAAGTAATAATATTGGGCACCATTATATATGTTTACTGATCCATTACATAACCTTTATGAAGTGGCTGTTCAAGTATTTTGTTCATTTTTACTTGAGTTTATAATATTTTAGTATTGATTTATAGAGTACTTGGGTAAAAGTATTTTGTCAGATCTATGTTTTATAGATATTTTCTTTCTGTATGTGGCTTGTTTTTGCACTTTAAAGTGCTGTATACACATGAACAGGATTTCTTTATATAATGTGTCAAATATATTAAATTTTTAATTTTATGTTTAATGTTATTTTTGTCTTAAGAAACTCTTGGCTGCCTCACATCTTATTTTTTAATTCCTTTATCTGCTCTTTTTAGAATTTGTTCCATTTTTATTGTTCATTCTAAATTAGAAGACAGTTGTTTATTTGAATATTTCATTCTCATTAAGTCATCAGGAAGCCACAAGATCAGAAATAAATCAAACAGGTTTAACAATATCACACTCTGCCTATTTATCTCTGCCATCTCTTCCCCCTGATGATCTTGTGATGCATTTTTCTCTGGACCATTAACACCTTTTCCCTGGAAGAAAATTTTGGAGCTCTTCTCTTAATTCCAACACAAATCAATATAATTTACAGATAAGTTATAATAATATGATAAATCCACATTATACTAAGAATGTTAAATAGTGTCTCCAAATAGTTATATTGATCATTGTTTTTCTTTATTCAGACTGTGATGCTATTAACCAGGTAGGGAATAAAATATTTTCATATAAAATTATTTTACCCAGTCAAACTGAAGAGTATAGACCTCCAATGGAGATGTGGAAACATATCTACCTTAATTCATGTGAAGCTACACCACCTCTTCTGAATTGACTGAAAGGATACGACCTGGCTGAGTAAATCCATCCATGCTAGTAAACACATCTAAGATTTTCAAATACATTATAATAAATCTTTCAAATACAGTTTGGGTTTAATACGATTTGCTATTAATTTTTTAAACAGACATTCAATTAGAAATTGACCGTTCAAGATTTTAGGTCAGAACATTTATAAATTAAAATAAATAGAGGCGGGTCCATCAGCTGTGATAATTTAACTCTTCAAAGGCACATGACCAGAACTTCCAAGATGTTTTATTTGACAGCCCTCAAGGAGGGAAGTACCCAACATGTGGGATAGTTAGCATGAAGTAGACTGTCTGGCATTCAGTAAAACTCATTCTTATCTTAGGTTGTACTGCTCATGTCTTTTTTGATCTTAGCAGTTCATTTCACTTTTTGGAGATACTGTCCCATCCAAAGACACTGTTTTAGTAGGCCTTTACAGTACCACAGCCAGCTTCACAATTCTATCATTACGTTATTCCTTGGTTTTATTGAATTTGATAACTCAAACAAAAGATACTCACTTCTATTTCACTATCTAAATATATAACTTTTTTGCAAAAATGATATTTTATTATGTATTTTTCATAAGCAAATACTTATTGGAAGTACCAACAAGAAACGGCCTGCTTTCTGAAGGTCAGCACTACAAAATACTTGCTGGGATGTATAAAGCATTGGCCATAGCCTCAGTAAAGGTTACTTCACAAATAATGACAGTGATTTTTAAAATTCTCCAGTGAATTGCAAAAATATTTCAATGTGCTGATAATATTGAAGAGCAATATCAAGTCACACCATGGCAGGCCATGAAGAAAACATGACAGAGCTTCACAAAAAGCAGTTCACTTTTAATTGTATATTCAGAGATTTATTTTATTCTATTATCATATTTTCTTATCACTGAAAGGGTTAAAGAAAATCAATTTTTTAAACAAAACAGAAAAGTATTTATTCTTCATGTTAGCTTCACTCTAGCTATGAAGATATATAAAGTTAATATTTCAGCGCTAGATGTAAATACCAGTGTTATCTAAGATCTCCTATTACTTTAGCTCTTCCTGGAATATTTTAGTTTTTTAAATTGTCAACTAGGTGCAATTGCAAATAATCATGTTGATATTTTGCATTACATTAAAAAAATAAAAGCCATGTATGCTGTTTTATCTTAGGGAAATTTATTGCAAAAGAATAGGGAAATGCCACAGTTATGAAAGCACAAATAAGAGACATGAAGCAGAGAATTATGAAATCATAAATATTCCTAAAATCTTAGACATGAAATACTTTTGACCTTGGCTTGGTCCTGGGTGATCTTGCTTGGTTTAGTTATTGCAGTGAGACTTGACCATCCTTTCATGGCCTTAGATGTTGGGCTCCTGGGGTAGGATTTCAGTAGAAGCTGGAAAATCCGTATCTTCTACAGAAGGATGGACATAGACAGCAGCCGTATCCAAGGCTTCCACAACCAGAGCCATATCCGTAGCCTCTGAAGCCGAAGCCATGGCCCAGTCTACAGAAGCTGCCACATCCAAAGCCATGTCCAAAGCCCAGACCACCGAAGCCCCCGTAGCCGAAGCCCAGGCCTCCGTAGTAGCTGCTGTGATGGCTCATGGTGTCGGGGAGGGGGGTGAGCTTGGTTTGTTGTTCAAGACAAGATCCTGAGTGTGAATGTCAGCGTGCATAGGAGGCTTATATACTCTGAGCAGAACATGTGATAAATCATGTGTATTGCCTTCCAATGTGTCATTCTGCATATTATGTGTAATGTTACAATTTATTAATCTGCTGTCTCCTGACACACAGAGAGGCCCTCATTCTCATTAGAATATTTCAGCTTACTTAGCTTCCTGTTTAGACTGTCCTTGAACCTGTTGCTTTGATTTTGTGAGAAGAAATGAAATATCTGACTCTTCAGAATTGGTACATTCCAAACTCTAAATTAAATTGCTTATTATCAGGTATGTTACGTCATTTGCATTTGATTGAATTCCTTTCATAATGAAAACTTTCTTCTGTTCTGTCATCTCCAGAGTGAATAACTCCATCTCCAACTAAATTCACAGATATTTGTTCAATTTACAGATGTTGAATCTATATTTTTTTAAAAAGAAAACTTACTTATCGAGGTGAGGACTGAAGAAAGTCCCTCTATTGAGAATATATAAAGTATTTTAAATTTTTTAAAAAGAAGGCTTATGTTGATTTTTAGCATTTAAATTATAATAACCTTTGTAATTTTTAGCTTTACACACCAGCTTCAGAACCTTTTGGTTGCAAAACATAGAACAATTAATTTCAGAAACTGAGGGCACAAAATCCATCTCAAAAGCAGGCTTATCAGAGTAGCAGTTCAATTTTCATTTCAAATCCTAAAACCTTCCTCCATAATTGCTTCTATTCAAAGTCCTACTAAAACTACAGATTGCATCTGCCTCTGTGTTTTTGCACTGGCTAGCCAATTTCTCCCTTTCTTTACTCTCCTTTGGTTACCCATGTATCCATATATGATCTCTATTTTCATTCTCACTTTAGCATCCCTCCCTCTTAATACCTACTAGGAACAACCAGGTAAAATTCTGAAGTTGACAATATATCCCTTCACCCCAGTCTTCCAATTACTACTCCAATAAATGTCTTGCTTTCTACCTTGTCTTCACATCTACCATAATATCTTTTCCTTGGTTTATATAATTGTATCCTGAACCCACTTATCTTCAGGCAATTTCTAACTACTCCCTACTAATCTGTTAATTGTTTATTAAGGTCTTTTTTTTTAAATATACAATTCATAGGGCTTTCTTAATATTAAAAGAGTATCTTAAAATTGAAAATATCTTCAAAGTTTTGAAAATGAAGACATGATATTGAAGTGACACAGAACCAAGAAATATATGTGAGGACATTAGGCTTGGACTTGATGGAGTCTCTCAGCTAACTTCACTGAGTTAGTCAACAAGATTCAAGGTTGACTCTACACTTGATTAACCTCCATGTAACACCGTCTCTTGACTTGGGCCACTAAAAACTTGTTTAATTTCCATGATCTTGATCATGTGGTTGAGCTTTTATATGATTTCCAAGTCTTTTATCAAAGATGAATTTCTTCAAATGGATGTTTCATTCTGAACAGCAGAGTGGGGAAATAAAACCTGTTTATAGAACTAATGAAAGTATAAATAAATTACAGTAACTGTTATGGCTACCACGGTCTGTGCGACTTTCTGACTGTACCTTAGCAAGCTACCTTTTTAAGGCCACAATATGGTTAAGTATGCCATTACACAACATACGCCATGTCTCTTGTATCCAAGTACTGTATCATTATTTCTCATTCTGAACTAGAAACAGTAGATAAGATTAATTTTCATTTTCAAGAGTCCTTTTGAAAACATAGCATGACAGATAATCTAACTGGATTAAGGATATCACATTTTGCCCATATAACTCAGCCATATCATGTAAGAGTGACTAATTTTTTTTGTTTGTTTGAAGTGGAGAAGGTTGGTTACCTCTGAGATGGAACACTAAACAAAACATTAAGTGGGAAACCTGAACAGTCAAATAAAACCCAAAATAGTTTCAAGAATAAAATGTGAGAGTTTTGCATAAAACCAATTAGTGATCATTGACAGTAAAATATCAACACTAAAATATTATAGAATATATAGAACAAATGTTTGTCTTGTTTTTTTCTAAGTGAAAAAATATTCAAAATGAAAGTATCCACTGGAAAATGAGAAATATATATTTCTTTAGAAAAGTATTGGTTTTATGCTTAGCTGTTAGACCCTAAAAAGATTGAATGATGATTTTTTTATTTCACTTTCAAGAAGTTTCCTTTGAAATATATATTAGATAATTCTATGCTAATGGATAGAAAAGAAGAAAATATGTTTTCACTTGGGGTAATATTTTTTTACCCATATATAAAGGAAACTTTTGTTACATATTCCAAAGTTTTTCCTGAAAGTCAAACACAAGTCAGTAAAATCTGAAACTGTAGGCTACAAAAATATATTATATTTTGTGTGTGGAATGCCACACACACATTTTTCTCATTCTAATTTATTTTTATATTTTTTTATTTGCAACTCTGCAACTCTTTCCTCAGGCTGTGAAGATATTTACCTGTGCAAGAAGAGAAATTTTTCAAATGAAATTTAGTTTTGGGTTAAAGTCCCTTTATTGGAATGACTAAACTTCATCTACCATAACCTCTCTATGGAAGGACAACATCTGATAGGACAAGTGACCAGAACTGACCTTTATTTTTTTCATCTTCATGTAGTTTAAACAAATCAAAATCTTCCTAATAAACATCCATGATCTTGAGAATTGAGCCTTAACATTATTCATTCTTCATTTGCCTCGAAGTACAACTAAATTAGAAACTGAGAAGTAGGAGATTATATACAATAAAATAAAATTGTAACAATAAAAGTGTGAAAGAAAACACAGTAAGAGGTAGTTAATCTAACAGAGGGAGCTAATCCTCATAAACTTAGCTATAAAATTGTAGCTGTTCATAAATATGACAAGAACTTTCCAGATGGTATTCAAATTTTCCAATAGACAGTGATAAAGGATCAGCATGGTGGAGTAGAACACCAGGATTCAGGTGATTCTGATCTCGGTTCTGACACCTGTTTGTGACTCTAAGCGTCGTTTAACAGTTTGCAGTTCCCTTACCAGTTCTATAGGGGGCAGCACTACACAGTCTTTAACGCTAGGTCCCGCTTTCACTTCTGTTACTGTCCTTGTATTACCAGATTTCAACAACTCACACAATAGCAAAAAACTTCACTTCATTCCAAAAGCTGAATATGTCATTCAAATTTGAAAAGGCAATAAATTTATATTGTGTCGTTTATATATCCAATTAAGTAAACAACTAGAAAATGCTTGATTTTGATGTGTGTTAATTAGTTGAAATTCCACTTTAAAAAAAAATCTTTTGAATGACTGGTGATTCTCACAGGTAAATCTCAGTGTGATCTAGTTATTGGTTATAATTAGGTGTTAACATTCCATTTACATTAATGTCATGATGATGATGATAAAAAACAATATCATTGCATATGGAAGAATGGTAATGGTAAAAAACTAAATCCATTTATGTTTTTTAATACTACATGTGTTTTAATGAAATAACTTGCAGTACTTTTAGTAAGATTATAAAATAACTATTTTAATGAGAATACTAAGTGAAATGATAAACAGTAGAAAAAGAGAGACAATAGATATATAATCAAGAAGTTCATTTAAAAAATATTTTTCTTTCCTAGAAGTTTGAAGTCTACCACTGTTCTTTTCTCAGCACAAAAGGGCTGAATAAGGACAAATTTTGAAAGAAGGGATAGCTATTTATATATTTTGGACTGCACTGACAAATAAAATTGTGTAAAATATAAAACATATAAATCCTTTTTTTTTGTTGCTACCATAGACAGACATATAGTTCAAAGTTGCTAGAGTTAAATTTTTTATTGTTGTTGAAGTAAACACTAAGTCTTTTCTAATTACAATCAAGGAAATGATAAGTCAACAATTACATTTGAGGAATTATTGTACATTTCAATCTAAATTTATTGTTCTTTTTATATATGTCTATGAAATATTTAATAAACAAAAAAATATATTAAAATCTCCATTCAAAGTTGACTAGTATTTATATTTAGTTACTGTATGTAATTGAGAAGAAATGAATTAAACAAAAGTTGTATTTACTGTTTCAAATCAAGAGACTTTTTTAAGGAAATTGAGGCGATAGAATGAATACGGAATTGTGTAATTGTAAATGTACTGAAAGTCTTAGACACTAATCATTTTGAACAAATGGACCCAGTGTAATCATGGGTGGTCCAATGGTCGAAATCAGATTTAGCAGGTCTACTCATGGCCCTACATATTAGATTCATAAAGAAGAATTTTAATAGACTCTTGAGAATCCATTCCTCCATAGCCCAGGGGGTGGCAACAGCTGTGTCTGTAGTTTCCATACCCAGAGCTGAAGCCCAGTCTGCGGAAGCTGCCACGTCCACAGCCATGGCCACAGCCCAGGCCTCCGTAGTAGCTGCCATAGTAGCTCATGGTGCCAGGCGCTGAAGTCTTGGTTCACTATTGAAGGTGTGTTTCCTGAGTATGTATCTCAATACCTGTGCAGAGGTTTTTATAACCTAAGTTATAGGTGTGGTAAGTCATTGAGACCTACCTCATTTTCATTCCTCAGAAGAAATGTTATGAAGCAAATGTTATTGGCTATTTGTTTAGTTTAACATGCATGGAATAATCTTCCATCATAGTAAAACTTTTAAATTAACTTTTTAGCTCAATTATGATTCCTCTGATTAAATTGTGTCTATAATAAGAAATATTATGTGAAACCTTAAAGGCTATTCTGACATAAGGACTGGCATAAACTCCACAGCATTTAGGGTTCTGAGAATCTCTACAGTCCAGTCAAGTGACTGGCAGCACCATGAAGATGATACTCCATTCCTCTGAATGCTGTTTTATTTTTCCCTATATCAAAAATTATTTCCATATTTTCTATTTCTTCTATTTTCATATTATTTGTGGTAATCAGAGGACTAAATTTGCACTTAAATTCATATCTCATTTATAATTACTTAGATGCCAAATATCTAAAATAT